GAAAAAAAACTGATCTGGAGTTTTTCATGACTGTTTTTCACACTGCTGTCTCTTCCTGGGCAGAATACAATGCTGAGATATTACCAGACATTTCACTGCCTCAGAAACCAAGAAAACATAATTTTTACTCGCTACCCAGCAATTATCCAGCAATACTCCCAATCAGGAGATGATTCAAGAGCACTCAGATATGCAAGAGTCTTTTTAGTGACTAGGTGGGATTCACATCCAGGCATAATGCCCTGGAGAACAGTGGATGAGTGTGTGGTGAGACCAGGCTGCACTGGCATTAACAGAGGCTGGCATTTCAAAAGCACAGATGTGTTTGGCATGGCAGAAAGTGGCAGCAGACACTTTTAGTTCTATCAAATAAAGATTTGGGAATATAGCATGCTTTTTGCTGAAAGACCCCCACACAGATTATTTTCACTTTAGACATTTTACCAGATCTTCTAATCCAAAAGCAAAAGGTGGAAAGGGCTGATATTTACTGCTGGTACATACCACTATCTAATAGAAAGGAGGCTGGTATGGGGTCTTCAGGGCCCTTCTTGCAAAATCTTCATGGCAGCAGTTCATACCTTGCTCTTCCCCTGGCTTTCAACCCATCACTGGGGGGTGACCTCTTGCACCCCAGCACGGAACATGGAGAATACTACATGAGTGTTTCTGGGATCACACACTCCTTCCCACTGGATCCCTTCTAGAACCAGACAATCTCCAAGAAGAAGGACAGCAAAGTCAGCTGAGCAGCCTGGTATAAGGTGTACAGGTAGGATGGAGAAAAAAGGCTTTGGCTCCAAACCATATTTAATACTTTGTACAGTGAAACATCTTTGAGAAATTCAGTGGTCTGAAGCTGTGGACAAAACACTCAGCTGGCAAGCTAGTTCAAACCCTTCTAACAGAGCAGGGGTTACTTGTCTCTTGGCAGGGAGTGGAACACACTCAGCATTATTTCTGCCTTTGTAATCTTGTGAATGACATCTCAGTTCTTTTGAGAGTCCAGCTCAGAAATCAGTGTAGCTGCTATAAAAAATTCTGCTGTGAACTCTTGCAGCATTTCCAATTCTGATGTGTGCATAAACACATTTGATGGTATTCACTAAATTTGATCCAAATGTATTGGCATTTGAATTCATAATTTTCAGTAAAAATTGACTTGGCAGAAGAACTTTACAAAACTTTAAGGAAAATACTGCATGAGAGAAGCAAAGGTACACTCACTATCAAGTTAGTTCTCCATGGTTCTGGATTAAGCAGCTGCACTTCTTTCTATTAATTCAGTTTCTAGTCAGCTCTTAGACCTTAAAATGTTCATCAAAGGTCACTTTCAGAGTTCACAGCCACAGTTCTGCAGAAGTTCAGATTGGACACTTCAGTCACCCCTCTGAAAAGTGTCTGCACTGGGTAGCACCCTTAAATTCCCATCTGATGGCAGGCCAAGCACAAACAGTCCATGATAAAATATTTTCTCTTTTGAGGACATTTTTCTCTTTTCCTATACAGGATCCTGGAGCTCAAATAAAGAAGGATACTCCCTGGGGAGTTGCCATAGTAACCTGTGATGTGTTTTTGTTGTCTAAGATTAAATATAAGCAAGGGAGCAATTACAGAGAAGGATTTTATACCCGAGTTTATAATTTTCATATAACACCAAAACTGAACTATACCTCCAAGTTTCTAAAGCAATAGCAGTCACCTTGAGGGTGATGTCAACTTGGTAATTTTCACTGAAAAATAAATGAAATGCTGTATTTATTATTCAAGAATCCTGATTAGAAAAAAAAATCCACTTCTGAAAGATGTAGCAAATAAGAAAGAATTAATTAGGAATGTAAAGATGTGGAAGTGGAAATGGCTGCTACAAATAATATCTAAACCTGCATGTGTGAATGCCTTCTATATTCTATTTTCTTCTTACTAGCATTCAGCTATAGTCTGCTCTTAAACTTATAGTCAAAGAAGAGCTTCGTGTTGTCCTCAGAAAATAACTTCAACTTTCACAGTGCATACAAGGAAGTGATTTTTGAATGTATCAATATCAGTTCAGCAGCAAACAGAATCTGAAGTTTCAGAATAAAAGCAAAATTTGTTTTAAGAGGGTGTGATGGAGAAAGAATCCATCCAAACTGTTCTCAGTTACGAGCATCAAAGGGAGGTCAGGAAGCCTGGGTTCAGGAAAGGGCATGGGAGCCGAGCTAGCAGGAAGGTCATTTCCATGAGAAAGAGCCCAGAAGAGCAACGCTGGGAAAAGGCAGAGCCCATCTTGTGAGGACAGCGCGCAAGGAGCGCAGAAAGGAGCTGTGCAAGGAGGGTGTGTAGGAGCTCCCAGACCCTGGAGGGTTGGGGGGCAGGTGGCTGCTTCTGGGACAAGGTCCTGCAGTGCTCACATCAGCCTCAGTCCCCTGCCCCTGCTGTGCACCCCGCCACCCCTGGACACCCCAGCAGCTCAGCTCGGCTCTGGGGAGAGGGAAGGAGCACCGCTGGCCGTGCTGAGAAGGTGAGCATCGCTGGGGCTGCAATGGTGTGCTCCCAAACTGCCCAGCCTCTCTTGGTCTGCTGTGGCTTCCCTGCAGCTGGCGGCCTTGCCCATCCACCCAGCTGCCCAGCATTTCCTGGGATTATTCAGAGATGGGGGAAAAAATTCTATGGGAGGCATTGAGATGTTGAAGTATCTCCCTAAAGCTTGGGTCAGTGTCTCCCTGGCAGTGCAAAAGAGCTGACAGAGCCACTGTCAAGTTTAATTGTCCCCGAGGTAATGTCCTTCCAAGTCATATATATTGTACATTTCTGTTTATCCTGAAAATGTGCAATCTAAACACTTTCTCTGTAAGTGACTTTAAAAACTGTAGCTGCTTGTCCATGATAGGCACGTGGGTCTGGGCTTCTGATGTTGCATGTGTTCTGCATCTTCCTTGGATAATTAGGAGTCTGTTCCCTCTGTGGCTGATTTGCCCTCTGCCCCTTCACCCCTCACCAGGCCCCCATTTTGGGGCTTTTGAGGGAAAAAAATGGGACTGGGCACCCCAATAGAACAGGAAAGGCTGCAGGGGAACGGGGTGTAAGGGAGGGAGCAATTCATGGCTCTGGACGTAAAGTGGGGAAAAAAAAAGTCCAAACCAGAGTTTTTGGAAAATACCTTTTTAGCAGAAGAATGATGTTATGAAAACAGAAGTGTGACATGAGATAAAACAGCAGATGATGTGGAAGACAGCCCTGAAATTCAGACAGTAAACAGGTTGCAATAAAATCAAATGTTAATGCAAACAGACTTATATTGCAATAGCCCTCTCCTAAATGCAGGAATTTGGGATTTTCAATGAAGAAGTAATTTTATGAGTGGTTGGACAAGCTTGGGAAGGGGTTGCAGGATGCATCTATGGATGCTGGCTCTAAGAAGTAACTTGGAGGAGCCTGGACATGCGGTGTTGTTGGTGCAAATGACAGGGAAAGGGGAGAGCAACAGGTTTTGAAAAGGAGAGGGCAGCAATAGGACAGGGGCTACACACTGAGATGGCAGAGCTGGGGGCTGTGGGTCACCCTCTGCTCGATGCTTAGGGTAGAGATATGAGGGGAAGATTCACGAAGGTAAAACTCTCCTCACAGACAGAAAGGCAGAACTGGGCTTTCCAAGGGACAGCAGGGAAGCTGAGAGACCTCAGAAAGGGGAGAGGAATACACCTGAGTGAAACTCAAATAACTTCTTCATTTATTTGTTTAATTTTTTTTTTACCTAGAAAAAGGCACATTTGTGCTGTTAGAAACTCTGTGCAGAAACCTTGAGAATTCCAATAATTTGGTTATAAAAAAATAGTTCAACCTCAGATCAAATAACTTCATCATGAAAATCACATACATTTAATTTTGGTTAAGCTGCAGAAAACAAGGTTTTCTTTGGCACAAAACAATAGTTTTTGATTGCCTGGTTGGTCGTTACTTTTTTTCCCATGTAAAAGACTGAAATCCTTAATTTGCCCCAGTTCTCTCATGGTTAGAAGGTGATTTAGCTGCAATATTTGGGGTAAGGAAAGGAGGGGAGAGTGTTCAACAGATAAGTCTGAGGTTTCTGTGTCTGAAATGAGAAGCATTAGAGGTTTGGCCCTGCAGTATGGATTTTAGAGATGAGTTTTCTGATGATGTGAAAAAGAGGCAGATGGACTGTAGGAAAAAGATAAGCAATCACTATTGCAGGTCTAGAAAGCAAGAAAAATAACAGAGCTATCAAAGCATATAAAGAGTAAGAGTGACAGGAGAAATGAGAATGAAAGGTGGAGAATTATCTATGGGTTGTGACAGTTTTTGGACTGTGGTGATGGAAGCTTGTCAAAAAACCATGCAAAGAGCAACAAAGCTTTGATGTCCCAAAGCTTTGGTTTGTGCATATTGTGGATTTTAAGATCAAAAAGCAAAACTGTCACTGCATTTTTGTGGCATCCTGTTAACACAGGCTACTCAGCATTAGCAGGAAAAACCTGCTCTCAAGGCCAGATTTTTTCTATGAACCTGTAAAAAATGTTTTATTTTGAAAAGTTTGTTTGAGCCTCATAACAATTTTTAATGTATTTGTGCATCAGTCATTTGGGAACAGGCTTTTCTGAGGCAGAAAATAGTCTTTTGCTCTCTTACAGGTCTGTAAAAATGAGGTAGAGAGATAAAGGGGAAGTGCAGGTTTTTATAAGAAAGCTTTTAGTGCTGCCATAGAGCTGCTTTATCTACCAATGCAAATTTTCTCAGCTTCTATCAACAAGGTATCTGGTGGATTCCTTACCCTTCAGCATCGAAGGGGTAACATGGTTAACTGTGAGAACTGATTTATTTGTTTGTCCTGTCATTGATGGAGTTTGATTCTGATTTGGAATTTTGGCAGTAAATCTACGTATTTGTGTTCCCTGTTCTTTCAGTCCTAATCAAGCTTCTCCAGCCCCACTGTGTCACCTACTCCTTGGCAGTGGTCAGCAGCCACTTGTGGAAGCCCTGGAAGAAGCCTTTTCCTACAGTCCTCCTCAATTTGCTAAAGAAGGGCCATGTCTGCCTTTGATCAGAGGAACCAGAGCATGCAGCACACAGAGCCTGAGACAGACTGCATCACGCCTCGGGTGAAGCCAAGGGGTGAGATGTTTGTCTTTATTGATGGGAAATGGGTGAATGACATCTACTGCCAGCCACCCTTTTCTTCACACCAGAAACTCCTTAGCAAGAAGGCACAGAATGAGTGGAGCATCTGGGAGGAGAACAGAGCACTCTGGCAGGAAAACCAGGTCCTCTGGATCAAAAACAGGATGCTCTGGAAAGAAAACAAGGCCCTACAATATCTCCAGTCACAGAACAAATCTGTCCAGGTAATTTACACTGATGCTATTCAGCAAAGCCTCAAGAACAAAAATAAGACATTTCCACTCTTCCAAGAGAGGAGCACAGGCTTTCAGCTCAGCCTGGGCAACAAAGCTCTCCAGGCAGTCCAGGAAAAGAATAAAACCTTTGAGGATTTCCAGCAGGAGAATAAAGAGCTTACCTGGAAAGGCCAAAAAGCCATCACAGTCCATGAAGAGAGCAAAGATGCCTGCTCAGATCTTCAGAAGAACATTGACACCATTGCAGCTGTGGAAAAGGGTAACCCTGGCCCAGTCGCCCAGCAGAAACATGAAGGTAAAAGGAAGAGCACTACTGCAACTCAGAATAAGATTGAGTCTGCCCCAAGTATGCCAGGAGAGCATGAAATCCTCCGGGCTCTCCAGGACTTATGTGAGCTCCTCCACACCTTCCTGAAAATGAGCCATCCTCCTGGGGAGAAACAGTGCTGTCACAATCTCTATGACATGAACAGATCCTTCCAAGAGGATTACAATAAACTGAAGCTGCAGCTGAATGCTGTGAAAAGCTCTGTGTCAGACATTAGAGCTCAAATGGATATGCTGGAAAAGGAGATCGTTGCCATCACTTCCCCAATGTATGAGGAAGCAGGACAGAAGCTGGCAACTGAGCATCAGCTTGGAGACATGTGAAGCTTGGGACTTAGAACTGCTAGTTCATTTCCCAGAAAGCTTCTCTCATTTTTTCAGGAAACCTAATAAAATCCCAATAGAGCCTGAAGATATCTGCGAACATCATGTCCTTCTGAAACTTTCTTACACTGCTTAGATACATTTCACCTTCTGGTTATATGGTGTAGGTGACTGCCATGAATTTGCCTAGTGTCAGGAATCATGTTTTCCAACATTTTTATTTCAAAGTTTCTGATAACAAGGTCTAGATTTTCAGAAGATTATTGCTTGAGGATCTCAACTCTGATTACAGTGTGCCAGCTTGTAGTCCAGGGTAACACTCACAGTCTCTGCTAAAAAAGCATTGATTAATAAAGGAGGATATCTCCTCCCAGACATCATGGTGGAGGCCACAGAGGAGAATGGAGCAGGCAGCAGGACTTGTCCTGCACAGAGCAGTGAGGTCCCTCTTGATTTCTTGCATAGTCAGATGAAGCAGGTTTTTACCTGTCCCAGAGCAAGAGCGTAGGTTGCCAAAAGCAGCATTTTGATGGTTGTTCCATGGCTTAAGTCAGTGTTTGGAAGGGCATCTACTCACACTATAATGGACAGGCCAGTCTGCAGTGATCTGCTGACACAGAAGATGAGAGCCTTTTGATCTGCTCAGGTTTGAAATTCTGGTCTGGTCCCAGTTGTGTGGCCAGAGTGGCTGGAAATGCATTTCCTGTGTCTCGGACAGTCCGGATGCAGTGCACTGTGTCACAATCTTTCAGGCAGAATATGGGAGCCTGTAAGAAATCTGACAGGACAGATGGAGGGAGCCTTCTGCAGAGCAATTGTAGGAGCATTACTGTAAAGCAAAGGAGAGGTTACAGTGAGGTTTATCTGTTGCAGCAGGACCCCAAAAGCAGGCTGTCACTCTAGTTTAAAAGTCTTTAAGTGATTTGCCATGGAATTACCTAAAGCATGAACTATCTTTCACCTTGTATTTCACTCAGACAACCATGCCAAGTGCAAGTGATGACTGTTTACTTCAGAGGCTTAAAACAAGAGGTATTTTCTTCTGCTGTTCCAGCTTTGGGATGCTGAGGGAAATCTCTCAGGCATGAAGTTAAATGGCTGGCTCTCACTGGTGTGGGTAGGGCTGCATCTGTAAAAATCAGGTGAGAAGAAGAGGAACAGTGTTCATTAATAGGTGGATGTGCAGACAGCAAGTTGCTCCTGCTTAATGACTGGGTTATAGCTACTAATAGATTAATACCTCAGCACTGTGCTGGGGAACATGTTCATGTTCTGTGCCTTCAGACACGCTGCTTTTCTCTGTGCCATCTCCCTCACCATGTTTGTGTCCAATGTTACCAAACATTGAACATAATGTTTGGTAAGAGGGAGAAACAGGGCTATGAAGACCCTAATGCAGAGGTTCAGAGGAGGGCAGCAGAAGAAAATGGCTCTGACCATGTGTTCATATCTTAACAAACTTATTTGTGTTCCATTAGAAGAAATAAACTGCTCTTTTGCCAGTGGTCAGAGTACCAACTCCTGCCATGTCCCCACACATGGGCAAGAAAGACACTTGGGAGTGCATCTTTCCACCAGGTGTTTGGGAGGAGTCATCTCATCTAATGTCATGTGTCCATCCAGGACAGGACATCCAGATCTCAGCTAGTCTTCCTGGGCTCCCTTTCTATCCTGTAGGAAGGAATGGGCATGTTCAGGCTGTGATTAATCTCACTCCTATTAGACTAAAAGTAGGCTGTGTCACCAGCTGGAGTCCCTTGTTTCTCTCTGTTGCCTCTATAATTACTTTGAGGACAATTAACTCAAACTTAGACATTTGGTTTGGAGCTCTCTGAGTGAGAAACTTGGCAGTTCCAGACAGAGGAGATGCTTCATCAAGTGGTGAAGTGGCACAAGCTTGGGAGTGTGTCCCAGTCCCTGGCTTTGCTTTCTGTGCACTGCCTTCATTAAGCAGCTGATTCAGATCTCTCTATTGTGTGGAGAAATTATTACTTTGTGAATAAAATTGAGATAGTTTGGGCAGAGCTTAAATATCATGCACACATGTAGGATCCTGAGGGGAACACACCACTTCTCCTGAATGCTAATGATGCTTCTGGAAGGAATTAGGTTTTGTGAGTCCTTTGCACTTTGATCACTTCTTTGGATCTTTAATCTTCCTGGTCATGAAAAAGTCTACACCTGGTAAATATTTTTTTGGCATCTCTCACAGAGAAGTTAAATTTATCATTCCTTTAAGTTTTCTCAAGTCTGTCGAGTGAGACGACAATGTCCATAAAGGACTGCCCAGCATTTAACCTTGCGGAGGATTCTGTGCTGTGCAAACTCTCTGTCCTGGTTTAGGGCAAATTTGGGAGCAAACCTCCAAAGGGGTCCCTCTGGATAGCAAATTCAAGCAGCCCTGCCCCCCACTGGTTCAGGAGACATAAATCTCCTTTGAGAAAAGTGGAAAAAAATGTTTATTTAACAAGCAAAATACTCACAAACATGGAAAAATGAATAATATTAAACAATGGAATCTCTCACTGTTCTGAAGAGATGGGAAATTCAGAAAGTCCTATTTGTGGGGTGTAGCTCGGCTCACTCGGTCTCTTATCAGTCCCTCTGGCACGGGAATGCTGTGTCCCAGGCCCCAGTGGGCCACAGGTATGAGCTCCAAGTGTTTTTCTGGGTTTTTGGTCCATAGCAGGTTTGAACAGTTCCAAGAAAAAGAAAAAAAAACCACAGTCTAGGGAACTTCTCTGCCTCAGCTAGCAAAAAAACAACCAACAAAAGAGCAAAGGAAAGCTCTTTCCTGCTGTCTGTCCATGCTGCAGACAGCACAGTCCAGGAGCAGGACGTGGGGGAGCAAGTGCAGTCCCTGATAACAAACTCTGTGCTTCTCTCCCCCCTTCGCTCTCAGAACCAGTCTTAAAGGTGCAGAACTTAATATCCAGTATAAACAGAACCAACAACTGGGGATACAAGCATCATAAAGTCACCCTAGGACACTCTCATTATCCCAGAAGGTACCAGATCTCCAGACTCTGCTTATTTGGTGACAAAAAAGAGCGTGTCGGTGACAACAGCGGAGGATCATTTCTGGGGGGTGTTGGAAAGGCAGATGATGATGACTATTGCTTGATCTATTAATGCTAAGGGCACAGATGTGAGATCTGACTGAGTGGCCTGCAGAGTGCCACAGGACTGCATGGGGAGGGCCCTAAACACTGATCATTTTCTGCATTGTTCCATGTCCCCAGCCAGTGCCATTCAACATTTCAGTGGTGCCATCCTACAGGTTTCCATCTCTAGAGTGTGTGCTGGTGAGAATGGTTGGACTGACAGCTTTTGCACACTATTTCAGGTACAAATGGAAGAAACAGCAGACATTTACAGGAAACACTTATTAATTATCATAAAATTTGGGAAAAAATGGAATAAGTTTAATACATTTTTCTAGTCTGCTCACTGGTTTACAAGTCCCTGGAAATTGGTAGCTATTCTGCTTGAAATGGATGGATGTCATTCTTATAGTGCATAATTTACATTTTGTAAAAAGATGAACTTTCGGTCTCTCTGCTTATTGTTGCTGATTATGTCCTTATTTTTTACTATTCATTTATCAGTACTATTTTTGGAAAGCTGGATTTTTGGCAAGGTCACCATCAGCTTCTTACTTCCCTGTGAATTGGATTATTGCCTCTAGCTGGGCTCTGTGGAAATGCTGACTTTCCTGTTCTCATTTTTTACTAGACAGTCTAATACATCTGGGTTTGTACTGTCTTCATAGAACACCCACTCTGGCCTTTTGTGCTCATCTCAACAGCCTCACCACATTCCCTAGTCCCTAAATTGCAATTTCAGAATTTTTTTTGAAGTGTTAGGAGCTTCCTTGAGCCCTGGCTTGCTCCTGTTAACTGCTGAAGACAGTTTTCCCAGAGTTTTGCTTGTGATTTCATGAAGTTGAGGATGTACTACAAAGGCTGTTGTGCTGGCCAAAAGCCATCCTCTCCACAGTGGTGCAGACTGTTCATTGGTGTTCTCAGCAGCCCAGTTTGTTCTTTCCCAGCCAGTTCCCAGCCAATTTCAGTTTAGCTCAGAATTAGACAGAAGTGTACATTTAAATGCAGGATAAAGTGAAATTCTTTCACTCAGCCTTTGTGCTGAACCTGGACTAGCCATCCTCTTTTTTTCACATCCATTTGGGCACAGACTACTCAAAATATTCCTGCATTGAGGTGCAAAGAAGAGGGGGAGTAGCTCCTCAGGTAAGTTTCATAAAGAAATTCTGTCTTACAGGGGCTGTTGACTGGTTTTAAAGCAGAAAGCTTTAAAGCTTTACCGCATTTTCCAAAGTGGTATTCATCTCAGCTAGGTGGAGACACTGAAATGAAAGCAGTAACTGAGACCCATGGCCACCTGAGGTAACTTCTGCAGCTGGTGGAGGTAGGCAGGATTGCCAGAGGGTCCAGGTCTTTCCCTGCTGACTGCAGAGAGTCTGGAGCTGGAGTGGCCAAGGTTAGGTGGGCAGAGTCGAGGCCTGAGACATGTTCACATCAGTTGATGAATGGCTGACAGAGAGCTTTAGATGAAGCTAAGGGAAAAAAATGTCAGTTTATGACAATAAGGGGCAGGCAATTTAGAAAGACCTCTGGGGTGTTGTGAGGTTATACAGGGAGAAAATTAAAAGGGTCAAATCCCAAATAAAACTGATTACTGGTTACTGTTGTAAAAAATGTTTCTATAAATTCATCAGCAAGAAAAGGAAGGCTAAGGAGAATCTTGACTCTTAAGTGGATGTGGGAGGAAACATTGTGACAAAGGATGAAGAAACGACTTCAGGTACTTAATCCCTTCTTTCCTCAGGCTTAAACAGTAAGACCAGCTGTTCTCAGGTACCCAGCCCTCTGAGGTGGAGGACAGGAGCAGGGAGCAGAACGAAGCCCCGTTGTCCAAGGGTGGACGGTCAGTGACCTGCCTCATCACCCAGACACACACAGGTGTATGGGGCCCATTGGGCTCCACCCAAGGGTACTGAGGGAGCTGGTGGAAGGGCTCACCAAGGCACTCCCCACCACTCACCAGAAGTCCTGGCTAAATGTGAGTCAATTCTCTAACCTCCAGTCAACTGGAAGGAGGGTCTGGAGAACTACAGACCTGTCAGCCTGACCTCGGTACTGGAAAAGGTTATGGAGCAGATCCTCAAGAGTGTCATCTCGTGACACATGCAGAACAATCAGGGGATCAGGCCCAGCCAGGATGGGTTTGCAAAAAGCATGTCCTGCTTGACAAGCTTGATCTTCTGTGACAAGGTGACCTGCTTAATAGCTGAGGGAAAGGCTGTTGTCTCTGTTGACTCTGTTGTGGTGAATGAGGTACATCCAGTTGGTGGCCAGTCACTGGTGATGTCCCCAGGGCTCAGTATTAGGGCTGCTCCTGTTTAACATCTTCACTGATGACCTGGACGAGGGGACAGAGTGCACCCTCAGTCAGATTTGGATGATACGGAGTTGAGTGGGAGTGTTGATCTGCTGAAAGGTAGGAAAGCTCTGCAGAAGGATCTGAACAGGCTGCGTCAATGGGCTGAGGCCAATTGTGTGAGATTCAAAAAGGAAAAATTCTGGGTCCTACACCTGGGTCAGAACAACCCCATGCAGCCCTACAGCCATTCATGCAGCCTCAGAGTCAGGGATTAGGCACCCAGCAAGTTTTTGCATTGCATCTGAGGTTTCTGTCCCATGCCACTTGAAGCCTGTGCCAAAATCCAGCTGAGATGAGCATCAGCGGGGCAGAGGGTTGTATGTAGATCACACAAACAGTATGAGCAAATCTCTCATAATAATTTATGAGAGATAATTTGTTGTAAATACATACCTTTTGGTTTTTCAGCCTTTCTATGTCTCTGATTTCATAGATTTTTTTTTAAATGCTTTTGGTGCAAAAGGTAAAATCACAAAACTTTCAAATCATCAGAAAAATATAATTGGCAGAAATGTTTTCTAAATGCAAATTGAACATCTTCCTTTTGATTGTGGGCTATGCCAAAGCTCTAACATACATCTTTGATCTTATGGCAGTGTCTGGAGAAATTAGGGTACTCTAATATGGAATAATAGATTCTCATCAAGACTTCTAGCTTTAGGAAATTGTTTAATCTCCATTCTCAGTGGCTGTTTCTTTGATGCAGCTGTGGCTGAAGGGTCCCAAGTGCTGGAAAAACAGCTCACCAGCTCAGAACAAAGCTGATTATGTAAATTGTGCATTAAGATTCAGTTTCAATTTAATTTTATTCTGTAAATAAATATCCTATTAACATCCATCTGTTAAAAGTCAGGTAAAACATTTTCAAAACCTCCATTGCTATGGCAGATGTGACTGTACCATAAATAGCAATGGTGTGGTGGTATGAGGATGTCAAAGTATAAACTGTGAAGCACATTTTAAGAAGTAATGAAGGTGATAACATTTAATTATAACAAAAGAGACCTTGTCTGATTGAGACAGACAGGGCTTCCATTTGTGTTGTTCTGTT